CACACAGAGCTACAGGCCAGTCAACTTCATTTCAGTTTGTGGAAAGGTGATGGGGCAACTAATCCTGAAAACCATTTTTCAGGATTGTATGTGAAGGGCTAGAAGATCCTCAGGAGTAGTTAGCATGGATTCACCTTCTGTGATGAAAGGACTAGCTTAGTAGATGTTGTCTACCTGGACTACAGCAGGGTTCTCATCAGTAAGATCCCATAAGATCCTTACAGAGAAGCTCATGAAGTTTGGATGAACAGAGTGAGGTGAGTTAATGAACAGTGAGCCCAGAGAACGGTGATCTGTCTAGTTGGAGGGCAGCAAGTAGGGGTTACCCCGGGGGATCAATACGGGATTTGATCCTGCTCAATGTCTTTATGAAGGATTTGGATAACAAGACAGAATGTACCTTAAGCAAGTTTTCCTGATAACACAAAACTGGGAACAGTGGCTGATACACCTGAGAATTTGCCACCATCCAGAATGACCTCAACAGGCTGCAGAAATTGTCTGTCTGGAACCTTAGGAAATTCAGCATGAAGGATGAAGTCCTGCACCTGCAGAAGGGCAGCCTGCAACCCAGGTATCTGGAAAGCAGCAGGAAAGGACCTGGAAGTCCTGGTGGGCAGCAGGTGGACACAAACCAGCAATGTGCCCTCACAGCAACAAGCAGCAACAACCTCTTGGGCTGCATTAGAAGCCAGTCAAGGGAGGTGATCCTTTCTCTCCTCTCAGGATTGGTGAGGCTAGCTGGGGTACTTGCCCAGAGCTGGACACATTACATTACAACACACAGACATGGGTATTCTGGAGAGAGTCTACCACAGGCCCCTGAAGATGAGGAAGGGACTGGAGGGTGCTGAGGCAGTGAAACAATTTTCCCAGAGAAGTTGTGCTAGCTCCACCCCTGGAAGTGTTCAAGACCAGGTAATATGGGACTCTGAGCAACCCTGTCTAGTGGAAGGTGTTCCTGTCCACAGCAGGGCGGGTTGGAACTGAGTGATGTTTAAGGTCCTTTCCAACTCCAAGCATTCTATGATTCTGTGATCTCTTACCTGAAAAAAGTCTGGGGGAGCAGTGACTGCTTTGCCTGAAGATGATTCGTGGGGGTCTTACCAATGTCTATAAATAACTGAAGGGAGTGTAAAGAAGATGGAGCCAGGCTTTTTCCAGTGGTGCTCAGTGACAGGACCAGAGCCAATGGGCACACACTGAAACACAGGAGGTTCTCTCCAAACATCAGGAAACAGGGGTTTTTCACTATAAATGTGATGCAGTGGTGGCACAAGTTGTTGCCCAAGAAGTTGTGGAGTTTCCTTTCTTGGTGATACCAAAAGTTGTCTAAAGATGTTCCGGGGCAGCTGACTCTAGGTGATCCCATTTGAGGCAGGGGCATTGGATAAGATGACCTCCAGAAAACCCTTCTGACCTCAGCCATTCTGTGAACTTTATCTACAAGAGGGACAGGAAGAGGGAAAGAAAAAAAAAGCTAATTTCTTTGCATTTAATATCTAAATGATTATTTTTGTCACAATTTTGGGAGGTACAGCTAACATCTGTTTTCAGAAGATCAAAGGGGAGGGAAAAAAATCAATGTTTTCTATTTCTTCCACAAAAGGGAGGCTTTGAATGCATATTCTTGAGGCAGAAAATAGTTCTTTGTATAGCATATTTTTCTATAAGTTTCTACATATTGGCAGAGTATAAAGAGGTGTTCTTGTATGACAGTAAAGGAAAAAAAATGTTTGGCTTTACTTGAAAAGAGTAGTTATCTAAACATATGTCTAAAAACATGCCATGGAAGGCTCAAGATATTTCTGTGAACTTGCAAGTAAAGAAGAGGAAAAAAAAAACTTGTTCTCTGAACAAAAATGAATCTTTCCTCTTCTTTTATCTCTTTATCAAAGTGAAAAGAGAATCTTATTATTTTCCAATAGTAGTGTGGCTTCCCCCAGTATGGCAGTTAACTATTCAGTTAAAGATTCCTTCAGCTATAACAACTAAAATTAACAAATCTCAATGGAAAGGAATAAAACTTTGAAAAACTGGTTTAGCTAATAGTGTTTTGCAGAGATAAACAAAACTCTACAACTTTTGTGAAAGTTGTAAATCTGGTGTATTTATTACAGCACTGGACTGAGAAACAAATTATTCTATTTTTCTAACAGAAGGTTGTCACTGAGTGTTTATAGTTGTTCTTGATAAGCTAAAAAATCACCATAAATGCTGGTTAAAACTGAACTTCCGAAGTCAATCTACAAGGTTTGTGGTTTTAGTTCAGACATGTTCTTTTGGCAGTTACTCACTTAAATATTGCAGAAGTTATTCTACTGTTACTTTCTGAAATAATTTTACAGTTTTATCATTTGCTTACAATGACAAATAAAGTTGTAGACGCTGTAAGGTTGAGGTCTTTCTCTTGTTATAACCAGTAACTAATTTTGGCCAATGCAAGGTATCTGTCATCTCTTGTGCAAAGGAAGCTCCCTGATAATGGACACCCCTGGGTTGTATAGATAGCTGTTAATTTGAGTTTGAAATTTTTTGGTAGGATATTAATTTACCATGTAGCTCAGCATGCATTGCTTCTTTTTTCAAAGGTCACTTGGTCAAGACATTTGGTTTCCACAAAATATGATTATTGATTTACATGCTCCAGTCGATAGACACTCCACTTGTTACCACTGTTTGGTCTTGTTTGCTAGTGCCTAAAACTAGCAAAGGAAGTGTGGAGTGGCCAGGTTTCACAGGAAGCTAGTGGAGGAAGTGTAATGGGGCCAGGTTTCACAGGAAGGATACGCACACGTTTTTTTTTTCTAATGCTCATCGTTGTATACCTTTATTTCTCAAATTTGGGGCAATTGTAGAACAAAAATGTTCTGTCGCATGAATGAATTATTTTACCAGAATTAAAGCAATTGAATATTTAGGAAAAGCTGTCCACGGAGAACTTTTTCACTTTCAAGTGCTGTGTTGGTGTTTTGAATACTTTGGGAATTTTGACTATCTTGTTATGTTTCTTATACTGTAGTCTCCCACTGTTATATTATAACCACTGTTTTTATTTCAGTGTAAATTAAAAAAAGAACATAAGCATAACTTTGGTTATAACAGTATTCTGAACAGCCTGTTTACTTTGTGTCTGGAAACCTCTTGACTTAATTGCAGCCTTAATCAAGAAAAAGCCAAGGAGCACACATAATTCTTTCTAAAAATGTATTATTCTTTTCTCTTAGAGGGCAAACCAGAGAAATTTTTGGTGGGTCTCTTGGAGCTTCCTTTTCGAATTGGAGTACCTTTTAGTATTCCTTTGGAATTGCAGGATGAATTTGGTCATGCAACACACTTGACAAATCGCATTAGACCAATTCTGGAAGCTAGGTAATTCAGCCATCTTTTTTTATTTGCCCTTTCTTTGTATGACAATAATATAATAATACTTTAGGGTTTATCTGAATGATATTCTGGGAATTTCTCACATAAATTAACTGATATTTTTCCTTTTATGTTCATAAGAATGTCTGAAAGTATCTTGTCTATTAAAACACTGTGTTTGTTTTTAAACTGGTTCTCTTGTGTTTTCTATATATTTTTCTAGTGGATTAACACTGAAGCATGACGACATACCTGTGGCAACAAAGTGTGTCATTAAGGGTGTTACTGCTAAAGGCTGTGTAAATAGTTGCCAGGGCAAGGTAGGCTAATAAATTTAAACTTTAAGTAAACTTTCTCTGTCTACTAAGAGACAGAGAAAATCATTTTTATGTGAAATAAATTGTTAAGTTTGGTCTGCACTAATGATTACAGATATTTCTTGGGATATTTTTAAATTATCTCTTAGAGCTCTACTTGGAGCAATTTGTATTTCCCATACCTAAAGTCTTTTCACAGCTGATGGGTCCTGGAGCTAGAAGGGCTGAGCAATGCATGGATGTGTGGTAGAGTGTACCCAGCACACCAAATCAGCTGTCTTAGTTTGAACTAGTGCTGAGATTGGTTTAAACCAAATCATCCTGGTACTTTTGCACTAAAAGATGATAGGGAGCTAAAGCAAATGAAATCTTACATTCTTAGTTCAGATGATGAGTAGTAGCAGCTAATGTGCAGGGTGTCTGCTCAAGCTCTTTTAATTGTTTCCACTATTCTTGTTACACTTACACAGTTACGCTTATCCACTTACACACTTATGTTATCTAAAGCCAACCTGTCACTGATGGATTCTCAGCACCTTGTCAAGCTTCTACTTTACTGTAAAACCCAAAATGTACATTCCATGTTAAAAAGATTTTTTTCATAAAACAGATCTTAATGCTTTTGATGAATATAGATTTAAATATTTTAAAAATATTTTAGAAATTATTTATAAGGCATATTTAGACAGTATTTTAGCCAGGTCCCTATTCTTTCATTTAGTCTGATAGTCTAGTATATGAATAACAAAACTAAGAGATGAGATATCCCATTTTACTGTTGATATTGTTGCTTAGAAAATAGCAAATAATGTTGTTGGTGGAAAGATGTATGAACAGGAGAAAGAGCATATATACCTGCTTATTGAAAATTAAAGGGTGTTCAGTGTAGTAAATTTTGTCGGCAAAATCTAAGGTGAAGGGCAAGAACAATGGCATAAAATGGAGTGGATTATGAGAAATAAATTGTATAGGAGCAAACGTGCCAGACTTTAGCAAGAGATAAATTTGGTGAGGGGCAAGACCAAGAATCATTTAGGGAATTTGCAGTATAGAAATAATATTGTACCATAGTAATTTAAAAAATTATTCTTATTACTATTTTTCATTATCTGATTTTAATGTGAAAATTTGTTGTAGTGATGCAATTTACAGCAGTTATTTTTCTTACATCCTTAATCAAAGATAGATGGACAGTGATAGCGATTCCTTGCTAAGGAATAACAAATACAGAACTTGCAGACCCTTATTTTAAGACTTTTTTTTTTATCTGCTATATTTTTCCCCATTTAAACAGCCTCTGAGCAGGTAATGAAAAGTTATGACCACTGCTTTTCATACTTTCAGAATCATGTAGTTTAACATATAAATCCTGAATTGAACATCTCTGATTATAATAACATGGAAAATAGGTGTCAGTACAGGAGAAAAAAAACTCTTTATTTTTTGTAGCACTGTAAGACAATTTCTAGGGACTTCTGAAATTAACTTATATACAAATTGACATGATTATGTGAAACTAATACATTTAAGGTTATTTAAGGTTAATAATTAACTTTGTTTTTTATTTAATATTAAAATATTCTTTTCATTAGAACTTTAATCTGAAGATTACTCTTCCTGGTTTGAAAGAAGATACACAAGTCATTAAAATAAGATTGCAGCCTGGTAAGTATCCTTAAAATATTTAGTGAAATTCTGTTAAATTTTATTCTGACACTATTAACGAGAGCTTCTCCCAAGAAAGAAGAATATTTAGTGAGGCATAAAAAAGTATTCAGGTGATGACTAGAAAGGAAATAAAGCCAAGAGAATCTCATTCTTGGCAGGAGTATCATTGTACTCACAGTACAATCTTATCTACTATTCTAGGGAGTGGAATATTGGTCTGCTTATTTGAGATACATTTTTGTCTTTTAATTACTTTAAATATTTTTCTAATCTAGCACCACTGAACAAATGAATTTCTTATCTTCTTGTTTTTGTTTAGCATTAAGACTTTTAACCTGTACTAATCTGTATTGACCTGTTCTCCCTGCAGAAAACCTTTTATGAATGAATAAGTGGTCGTTCAGTTTCTTAACTGAGCAAAGGGGGATGCTTTGGCAATTGAATTTTGTCTGAAATTTTTATGTTACATGAATTTATCATAATGCAAGACAGGAACATAGAGCTCTGTAAGGACACTGCCCTAACCAGAATTTTATGTTTTCTGGATGTCTTGATTCAGAGGAGTCCCTTACATGAGATCTTGTTATCCCTTGTTACCTGGGTTTTTCTGGATTTGGGATATAAAGTATAGTATGAAAGCTAAGTTTTGGCCTCCCAGATTACCAAACTTCAGGCTTGCCCATCTCATTTTGCAGAGATACTGTCTTCTACTTTGTGAGATCAGCAATGCAGAGTTTAGTCCATTAATCTTTATCCTTTGAGGAGTTAAGGGTTTATGTAGAAAACAGTGAAATGATTGGACTTGAGACACACTGTGTTGTGTGTTGCTGTTATTTACCTTGGACTGTTATTTACTCTCATCCTTCATTTTGCTTTCGACAGTGTAGAGATGCTTCACTGCCTCTTTCTTCTCACTTGAGTTAAATGCTTGGCTTTGTAAGCTGGTTTTTGAGGAAGGAATAATAAAAGCTATTTCAGTCTCATTCTTCAACTAGTGAGTTTGAAATAGAAGATTTGATAAGTCATGCATAAAGGATGCTTCTGAAAAATTACCATCTTTGTTATTTCAGAACCTATCTTTTAATAGTAATCTGTTACTTCCTTCTCTTTTTAAAAACTTATAAAATAATTATGTGTTCCAGGAGATAGACTTATCTGAATAGCTTTACTTTATTATCTAAGTAATGACAACAAAATTTTCTTTTGCATTTTTTTGCATGCAGATTGTAGCTGTGATAGCTTTGGCAATTAATTGGATATCTCAACATTAATTTTTTTTGCGTTTATCATGTCACAGGAAAGCTCAAAGTTTTTTTTTTTTTTATGAATGTGAATCCATATAGCATGTAAACAAAATTATATCATGTGTTTACCCCTTGTATATTCTGAATTTCATCGTGTTTTTTAAGGATACTCTACTAAGTTCAGAAGGTGGGCAGATGGTATGTGTTGAAGGTCAGAAAGTGTAGAACTTTCCAGTACAAACCAATATATATACCTGAATTGTTTGAAATGGTTTGTTATCACAAACATCTTGGTAGCTTGGCTTTAAAATGTCTGAGATGGCAAAAACTTAAATTTAGTGTCTCACAAGTTATCCAGAATGTAACTATTGTTCTGCAATTGTGCATTTTTTACAGGCCCTCCTCGTCAATTGAAAGTAAAACCAGATTCAGAAATTCTAAAGATTGAAAATGGTACAGCTTTTCCCTTTCAGGTTGAAGTATTGGATGAATCAGGAAATATAACAGCACAGCCAGAGTTGATTGTTCATTGTAAGGTAAACTTAATTTCATAGCCATAAGGATTTTTATTCTTGCTTTTTAAAGGGTTGGAAGAAGAATCTGTGTTGGAATCTACGTAGAATTTAATATCTTTAGCAATGCTTTCCAAGTTTCTACAGCTTGCTAGCCATAACTGTGACTCTCTTACCTCTTATGCATTATGAGCCATTGAATAAGTTTTAGAATCAGTGGAACATGACCTTAGAAAAGGAAGAGAAAATTATGTGAGGATGTGTAGGTTCAATTTTTAGGCATTTTAGACCATATTTATCATATACAATGTTAAAATTTATTCAGAAAGCTTACTTCTGGTATTTATAAGTATACTGGTGCTTATGATAATTTCTAATAATAATATTAGAAATTATCCTAAGCGCCAGTATAAGCTCAGAAGGGAATGCGTATCTTGCTCTGACTTTAGACTTTGGACTTTAGGAGGTAAAAAATCTTCCCCTTTTGGCCATCTTTGTTTGGACTCAAGAAAGTGACTTCCCCAATTCTAGTGAAATTCAGCAAGGGTATATAGAAGTGTTTTCCCACTGCAAAATAGACTGCATTCCATTTGCACTTTATATGGGTACATACTCTTCCTGTAGACTGGGTCTGCAGTGATATGATGAATGTGATGTTTTAATTCCTTTAATGTGTGATGTTTAGTAAATTGCTTCACAAGTTAATTGAATTTATTGCATAATGGCAGAAGAGTCTAATTATTGTGTGTTTTTAAAGCAAGTGAATAGATAGTATACTTTATAACTTATTCCTTTCTCCCACACATCTCTTATCACCTGCAGAAAAATACTGGTTCCAATTGTTTCCAGTTGTCTTACAGTTGTTGGAAAACTGAAATATATTTTTTTTCTGTAAAGAATTATATATATATTTGGACTTTACAAATAATCATTTCTGAAATAATCATGGTAGTTCTGTATAAGAAACTTGATGTTTAATCTTACATTTTCAATAGTTTTTAGGTGCTTCAGACCTTCCTGTGTATTCTGTGGACTGCAGTAATGGAGGAACAAACATTTTAACTGGTCCAGTTATACATGTACAGAATATCAAGAAAGACCAGATATTGAAAGCCAGGTTTGAAGTACTTGTAAGTATTGGTTGGAATGTTTGTATTAACAGAAGATTGAAAAGTTTATTGTAGTGTCTTGCCAGCATTTTTTATGAATAAGCTTAGCTCCACCAAAGTTAGTGGTTTTGGTGTCATAAACCTCATAATCGGGTGGCTATGCTTTTTTATCACTAGACAATTAGAAAAAGGCAAAGAGTTTTTTCCATTTTTTTTCTTCACTTCTAACTCTATTTGTTAAATCCCTGAGGTGTTTCAGAAAGATGCGTGTTTTCTGGGATTTTTCCTCCCCTTTTTAATTCCTGGATTGTTTTCACAAATTGCCCTCATTGCATAAACATTTTAGTGTAAGAATAGGTACAACAATCAATAGTTTTTTGTAGCATTTCAGTTTCAAAGCTCATGAAGTATGAATTTTTTAAATGCTATTGAAAATTCTAGTTCTCTGGCAGTCAGGAGAGTCATGCTGCTGGAGAAAATAAGACCCGTGTGTGTTTTACTCTGGAAAAATGTGTAAATAAATGCTAGTATGGCAAGAGGAATTATATGAAATGATACTTAGGGTTGTGCTTAAAAAGTATTTTTTAAATTTTATAACCTACTGCTTCTGGAATAGAAAAATCTAAACAGCTAGCATCAATTCTAGTATCTGTTAAAAGTATATGGGCGTATCTTTTTGATTCACTTTTGCCAAGTCAAGCTGATTTCATGTTTGGACACCTGGTCATACCCGGTAATTCTAAGTAAAGCCATAGGCTATTATGGTGCTATGTGTATGCATATCTAAATTAATTATCTTAATTATATGTCTTTTTTTTTACCCATGAATAGAATTGCAAGGATGTGCCACCAGTGGAAAAAATTATTAAACTTCTTCCTAGCAGTCATGTTGCAAGACTACAGGTCTTAAGTATGAATGGACAAAAAGCTCTTCAGATTAAACATCAGGATGAAATCAGTTGTGTTGCTGGCCAAGTCATGAATAAACTTATATTTCAGATGTATGATGAAGCAGAAAGAGAAATACCCATAACTGCGGCTGCTGCAGAAAAAATCAAGGCAAGTACTTTTGAATAAACAGCAGCATAATATGGGGGAGAAACACAAAACTGATACCATTAAAATCCATAAATGTCAGACTACTACATAATATTCCTCAAAACTGAATTAATAAACATTGAAACTTAACTCTCATTTTATTTTTTTATATTTTTATTAATTAAATGTCAAGTAATGCTTCAGGGTAATATTATGAAAAGCAGGTTAGTATTTCCAGTGTTTCTCCTAAATGCATTAAATAATTATCCCAGAGGTATAATTCCTCAGATCCAGGACCTTCCCAACATTTAGAAACTTTAAATAGGGATGTTCCCCATGAAGGCTTGCTTGTCTGTCTTATCCCCCTGTCTTATGTGTGCACTTATGTGGAGTCTAAAACAAACATAGAGATTTACCAAATATATGACACTTGTATCTTTTCTAACTCAAGTTCAGTGAGGGAAACCTAATATATATTTTGATCTGCTTGTGGTTTTTTTGAAGTAATTGACTGTATTTTAGCAGATAGCATTGGTTACTGCTGAGAAATGTCCAGGCTTTCCATTGAAAGCTGCTATTTCCTGTATGTTACATCAACGTATTTAGAATGGCTTCAAGATGCATTATGTAGCTAGTCATTTATAATTTAGCTTTTGATTAATTTATAAAATTTTAATTTTAGGTCAACTGGACACCTAAAATTGACAGAGAGCTGTTGATGCAGGGATTATTACCTGATGTTAAAGTACCAACTTCAGTAAAAGATGCACGTTACTGTCTAATTACTTACCTGGATGAGCACGTGTCTTTGGAAAGTGCATTCACAGTCAGGTTTGTTCATTTGGTATATTTCTTTATTAACCATGTTATTGGCATAGCATTGTAGATCTCATTACTTTGGAGTAAAACAAAAGTCTTTAGCTGAAATAATGAAAGTGGTTGGCAAACTAACAGGAGAATGTCAGCTTGGGAAATGGGAAGGGTTTATGTAAATTTATTAAATGTGAGAACGTTGTCTGTGTGAAAGACTCCATTGTGATTACTGACTTGCATCCAGCCCTATAATCACTTATGTAAATATACATATACTGAAGAAGACTGTTGATTTTTTTTTTGTTTTTTTGTAAAGTTGAAGTAAACATTAGCTCACAGAATAAGGTGACTTGTGACAGAGGAGAAAGAAATATCCCTACGAAGTTAAATCTTACCTGGTTTCTCAGTCAAAACTGACAGGCTGTAAATTGAACCTTAAAATTACCTGTTTATCACTCTTAGCGTGTTTAAGTCTTGTATCTTAAAAAGTTTATTAAGAGGAATCTGATTTTAAATTATTTGTGTATTTCATGTGATTTTAATAGGTTATAATTAATTAATTCACAGCACTCTGATGCTAGGGGTAGATTTGCAGCAATTAGTCATTTCACAGATCTGCAGTAGGAAAATAAAATACACTGCATGACAAAGCATTAAGATTCTTAAATATATTTATCATGCCTTCTATGATGTTATATTTATCATTATGAGAGAGATAACTTAACTTAATTTTCATGTACTCAGACCAGTTCCTGATGAACCCAAGCACATTAAATGTAAACTAAAAGGCTCAAACACACTGCAGATGGGTGAAGAACTGCAGAGTGAAATCGGTAAGTTGTTTGCATATTCCTCATTTTCTTCTAAGATATATCTCTTTTTCTTGGCAGTTTGTTAAGACTGTTATATATACAGATGTCATCAAGAGTAAATTACCTTCAACTACTTTAATAAAAAAAAAGGTTTACATTCTCATTCACAGAAAGATGTTCAGACTTCTGAATTGCCATTTTACACTCCTGGAGTTACTCTCTGATAAAATTTGCCTCTTACTTTGTACATCAGGACATTCATCATGCTTAGTTCAGATAGTTCATAAATTTTTGTTTAGTTCATGTATTCTGAAATCTCAAAGGCTTAACAGCATTCAGACTGTTGCTAAGGCATGGACTTCAGAGGAAGGCATGTTAGGGATCAGTCTTCTCATTCTTCTCATTTCTGTATGCAGTTGCCACATGACAATGAGAAATTAAAAAGTCTTTCAGTATTGGAACATTAAAAGCTTGGGTCTGAATGAAGAAAGCACATAGAACAAAAAGAGATAGGAAAAAAAACTAGGTTGAAAAACGCTTTCAATTTTGAGATTTTTTTTTCTTTTAATTTTTGGTAAGAAATAATCTTTGAATAAAAAGAATTGGGAAGCACAAATATGGGATATAACTAAATAGATACATCTGGTTTATACCCACAAGACTGGGGGTTCTTATCAATGTATATAAAAACCTGAAGACAGTGTAAAAGATTTGGAGTGGGGCTTTTCCTAGGTGTGTTCAGAGACTGTAAAGAGAGACAGTGGGCACCAAGTGAAACACAGAATGTTCCCCCTAAACATCAGGAAACACTTTTTTAATGTGAGGCTGACTGAGCACTGGCACAGGTTGCCCAGAATTTGTGGTGTCCCTCCTTAGAGATACTCAGAAGCTGCCTGTCTGCAACTTGCTCGAGGTTGCCCTACTTGAGCAGGGATTTTGAACCAGGTGACATGCAGAAATGCCCTCCAACCTCAGCCTGTGATGTAGTGATAGTTACTGAATTTTTTTCTATATTGTGTCTGTGTTGTGTATGTTTATATTCCATATGTTGTATAATGTTTTGTTAAAGCAGCTGCTGAGGTGATCATCCTAATAATCATTTTAATCATCATCATCTTTTTTAACAGATGTAATGATTACAGATCAGTTTGGAAATCAGGTTCAGACAATGACATCTGCATGTGTAAATTCCCTAGGAGTTTCTGGGCCTGGACTTGATAAATCAAATTTGAAAATAACTTGGCAGGTATTTATAAGATGTCATATAGTTTACTCCTTTGTGGCATTTGTGTGGTAATTGTCTTAATTCTGTTACACAGAACTAAACCAAAAATGTGGAAAGGTATTCAAATTACATGCTAGTTGGTTGCTTAAAGCATTAAAATTGTATGATCCTGTTCTAAGGAGCACAGCTGCATCTGTTAAAAACCTTATCACTGCTGCAGCTGTAAAATGTGGAGGCCAGTTCACTCTGTGCTTGAGTCAGGGTTGCTTTGTTTCTAGGTCATTGTTCTATTTGTTTTCTTCTATCTTGCTTTTAGTCTTCTGTGTTTTTTTATGTTGGTACAGTTGATTTTAAGATGTTTTGAAAAACCTTGTAGAATGGACTAGTATCTATACCTTTTAAAATTCACTGGATATAACCTGAAAAACAAGTTTCTGAGGAAAAATTCTTGAGTTTGAAATGTGTCACTTCTTACTCATGAAGTTCATTAAAATTTCAAAGGAATAGAAGTTGTAGTTTAATTTTTAGTCCACTGTCTCACAGTAAAAATACCAAACAGTATTTATAGCATTAATGCTATATTAAAAAAATACTAGTAAGTTTTACTTTGCTTTATTTGTTCTTGATAAAATTTTCTTTGTTTCTCAATAGGAAAGTACTCAGACAATGAAAGTAAAAGGTATTCGATACAAACCCTGTTTACTTGGAAGCAAAGAATTGTGCTTTGCTTGGCGTGAGTTTTCTGACTTTATCAGAGTGAATTTAGTAGCAGGATCCCCAGCTAAATTGCAGCTTGTGGATTGGCCAGAGTTAGAAAAGGTAAGTTGAACAATTTTGCTTTAAAAAAAAACAACATGGTCCCTAGTCAGGTATTTTAATTCCATTTTTCATGCAATAGCTAGCTCCATTAGGCTTTTAAAAGTAAACTTATTTTGGAGTAATCTAACTCATATGTGTATGTTTACAACCTTAAGTACTGTAAACTTTATTCTGCCCCATTTACCTTTCTACAGGTAGTGTAACTTTTCTCTAGTGCAGTAATTTTACTGTGGGCTGGATCCTGACACCCATCTTTCACTGCTGTTTTCCAGAAATACAATCCTTAGTGGTAGTAATGGCTGGCAGCTCATCTCTCTGTCTCTTACTGGGGTTTTTTGATGTTCAGGATGTAGGATGGCAGTCCCAGATTTACTTCAGTTTACAAGTGTTTACTGTCAGAAAGTGAACACTTAGAGACAATGGAGTACAAGACTTAATGGAATGGCTGGAGGTTTTTGGTGCTGTACATCTATTTGCCTTAGGTTTTTAAAATTATTTTTCAGTGTTTACTTTGGCTATTCAAAGAACAGTGCTTAAGTTCTTGCAGAAATCAGAATAGAAAATCAAAAGCAGAAAAAAGAAAATTGTCTGAATAGGGGACAGGAATCAAGATTGGTGTTTTGGGAAAATGGAGAAGGAGGTTACTGAAGAAAATTAAACAGAAGGTTCAGGAAGTCGCATAACTATTTTTGTTCTCTTGGCAGCTGTTCAAGTATATCAGAAAATAAAATTTTTAGACCATGGCTCTTCCTACAACAAGAACATCGATAAGGCCCTTCTGAATCATGTCCTTCCTTTTAGTCACATCACCCTGAGTAACCCATGCCATTTAATTCAAGTAGTGCATTTTATTATAAAAAGAGAATTTAAACAAACTCTAGAAATGCATTCCTACATACCATTCAATCATGGTCTAGGTGTTCTGGGAGACAAATAATATGGGAAAGGTGGGCACTGTTGCTCTGGGGGTTCCTGAACTGCTGTTAATGTCCAAGATATGTACAATTGATTATCATCATTTGAGTATCTTGTATTTGTGTCTCTTCCAGCCTGTGGCAGTGATTAATGGTAGAGAATTGCAGAAGCCCCTTATTGTTCAGTTGTGTGATCAGTGGGGAAATCCAACTCCTGAACCTAATGTCAAAATCAACCTTACAAAGAGTAGCAACTTAAAGGTAAGCATTGGCCTTATTAGGTGAACTTTGTTTAACACAAGTTTTGTTGTCATGTCTATGGTATGTTACTTTTCAGGACATTTTTGGAAATGTAATAAAATACTGTAAGATCACAAAAGAATAACTAGTATAAGAACTGTGACAACAAATATCATATACTGGTCCCAGGACAAAACCCACAAATATAACAAAATTTGGATAAGACAGGATCTGAGTAAAATTCGAATACATTCCAGCTATTTTACAGAATCTTTTTTCCAAATTTTGCATGCGCATCAGACCACCACATCCCCCCATGTTATCAGAGGTAATTTACTGAATGATAGAGTAATGACAATGGTACAGTCTCAACTAGCAACCAAATAATTTTTATCTGGTGGTTCTTTGATTTTGATTCCTGCATGTATGACTTACTGGTCTGTAGGTAAAGCTGGTCAGCAGGTTTGGGCCCTACTTGATTATCGTATGAAAAGCAGGATAAATGAGATTAAAACAATGAGGATGCAAATCTAGCCCAGATACAAGTGGTTACTGTCTGTTCCATAAGTGAGGTATGAGTATCAGATGGTTTTCACTTTAGTCTGTACAAAGGAAGGACTTTGACAGAATACTCCATTCACTAAAAATTTATTCCTGTGTTTGAACAAAAAAGGAAAGTCAAGTCAAGCTGTCAAACATTCCTACCTGTCAGTACAGAGACCATTATATTAAATATATATATTATCAACACAGGATATATTCATCCACCTCTGGACATAACATTTTTTCATTCAGGACAGGTCCTGTTCCCTTTTTGTTCCTGCTTGCCGTGCATTTGCGTTCCTCAGTTTTCTCAGAATAAACAGCAGACAACCTTCTTTTGCTCACTCCTCCAAAGCTGTGCCACAACCTTAGCTTTTGCCCAATTTAACTATGCTATTATTACTTCTTTTAATTGGATATTTTGAAGGAGATTTCTTGATATTCCTGAACCTTTTTTTCTGTCTTTTTTTACTCTCTTGCCATAGAAGCCTGCCTTGCAGTTTGGAGATTTTTTTTCTTTGCACCATCTACTGTTTTTATGGTGTCAGCTGAAGCTCACTGTGGGTTCTAGTTATTTTGTTCTTGAGAGAAGACATAACCTTGGCAGTAGCAATGTGTGATAGTGCCGTGGTCAAAGAGACGTTGGGGTGGCATGCTGTGTCTTCTCAGATTTTTTTGCCTTCTTTCCAGGGAGCACCAGCAGCATGTCTTAGAGTCCACATGTTCTTTAGCTGAGTGGGATGTGTCCAGGACAAAGTGCTCTGAAAGCCAAGGTTGAACATTGTTATAAAAGTGTTTATTACAGCATGCTCTGCCTTGGCATTTCCAATAGGTGGTGTGCACAGTCTCTCAAAAGAAATGAGAAGATTTTGGGAATAGAAATTCTCAAATAAGATGTTCTCTATATTTCAGATTCCATCCTCTAAGTCTCCAAAGCCTGATACTATGCAGTTTGTAGCATGTGTTCCCTCTACTCCTTTATCTTACAGATCCAAAACTGAGTAAAAACTGGAGGAACACTGTAACAAGCACTAAATTGTTTGTAGAAAGTTTTTGGATCTGAAAATACACTCAGATTAACATCTGCTGTGGATGATACGATAGCATCAGTTGCAGTTTAAGAAATAACATTTATAAAATATTTTAATATATTAATAAAGAAAGTGTCCTAGTTCAGATGAAGTGATTGCTTTTAAAATCTGGTAGAGAATTTGAACCCTCTTCCTTAATATTGTCCTAATAACAGTATATCTTTCCCTAACTTACAGTACAAATTTTAGCTACAGCTCAAATTAACAGACATATGCAGGCAAATGAGATAAACATTTTGTCCTCAGAGTATTTCTGTGTTGTTGAAAGATTTTTTTTTTTTTTGACAGCTTGTTCCTTCAAACCAGCAGCATAAAACAGATGACACTGGTAGGGCTAACCTGGGAGTTTTTAGTATTCACGCACCTAGGTAAGTAGTGAAAACCGGATGAATTTCATAAAGTACTACTAAGTATTAATCTAGAACTAAGATTTACTATCCATATGCAGGTGGATGGCCAGATAGTAAGTTACAAAAATCTAAGTGCTTAACTAAATAAAATTCAGTAGCTGCTTCTTTTGATCTATTGAAAAGCTGCTGCTAAAATTTTCTGAATTTTGTTTTATTGTGCTAGACATTGTTTTAAAGGATTGGGTAGAGTGTCCTAAGGAATTTTAAATAGATGTATTTCATTTTTCCTATTTGTAATTCAACTGCTCAAGTCTCATTTCCAGCACATATGTGTACTGTGGCTCCTGCTTCTTCATCTTGTGCTTCTTCATGCTCACTTCAAGTATAGCTTCCCTTACATACTTAGGTCCCATATGGCTTTTCAGTTCATCATTTTTGTATCTTACTCATAGTCACAGTTCTGCAATCCACTCCCTGTATCCCTGAGGTTTTGGAGCAAGACTGGGTTGACTTTAGGTTATTTGAAACTAGCAATAAGCGCTTGTTCTTTGCATTTAAATATGGAGGATTTGACTCATAGTACTCTTGCATTTGGAAATCTAAAACAGCATTGTTTTAAATGCTGTTGATGGTGTTCAGTGTATTTATGATGTCTGTGACTTGGTAGAAGGATGATGAATATTAGTTATCAGTTTACTACTGGAGGTTAGAAACAGGTGTGACATCATACTATTTACAGCATAATCAAAACTGCCTGGGAAGTACAACCTCTGTGCAGTTAAATACTATATTCCCAGTTGTATTTTTTAAAAGACAGGAAATTTTTGAAAAAACTTTTAAAAATTAAACTTAAAAATTAAACTTTTAAAAATTAACCTTAAACTTAAAAATTTAAGTTTTTAATTTTGTAAAGAAAATTAGTTATTTGGTAGCATTGAAGACATTATATACTTTCAATGTACTTTGTTGTATGTGAATGGTACTTGGATTCACTCTTTGGAAATTTATCAAAGTGGAATGCTTCTCACCATTTTAACTGCTTTTTGCTTTACTGTCTGCTGCTTGAGGCTGTAGTTGCTAGTGTCTTACAGGCAATGAAATGTGATTGAAATAATGAAATATTAACACAAAATTAACAAGTTAATATCTTAAGAATAACTTGTGACTATACTTACCTGACATTGCATTAACAGTTCCTTTTTTTCTTCTCTTTACTACTACATTACTAGATATTGTTTAGCATGCTTTCATGTACATTATTCAGACTTTAGGCCAGTTGAAAATTGTCTTTTCAGAAGAGATTTTACATCCATTTTTATGATTTCTCTATATTGCAGGGGAGAGCACATTTTACAGATTAAAGCCTCATACAACAAGGCCATATTAGATTGTCTTATAATCACAGTAAATGTCCTTCCTGATCCTGAGAAACCTATCTGCCTGAATGTTAAATATGACAAAAGTCCTTCTTTTCCAGCAGGAGGTACTTTTCCTGGTAAGTATATGACTTTTTGGTGGAAATCAGTCGCTCAAGAGCTTTGAAAATCTGTGGAAAACAATCTGTGGTGGTTTGCCTACTGTATTTTATTTTTGGTTTTTCTGGTCTGTTTTCTCAGTTCTTTGTAACAACTGTGTCTGAGATGTAACACCTGGACAGAAGAGATATGTAGGTCAACTTTGGAAAGCATTTCAAAAGACCTCTTATTTATTTGTTCCAAATTGCTCCTTTTATCCATCTATAAATGGTAAAATTACAGAATCTCTTTTCTGTCTCAGTAAAATATGATCTGAGCCAGTTCATGTATGTTTTCCCTCATCTTTTGCTCTGGAATAGTAGCAAAGGAAGTAGCTGTGAAATTCTAGGTCGGCTGTGAGCCAAGACAAACCAAAAGTAATCAACAGGAGGACAACACAAAATATTCTTTTCTCCTGCTGTAGTCTCTCACAAAAGAGTTTGTTTCTTGGCTGTCATAACTTGTTCAGCCAACATTTTTATGGCAAGAGGTTTTTGTTTTTTAAAATACTCTAGTACAGTGTTACGACCTTGATTAAATTCACGAGATATTTTAGTTTTTCCTGGAGGAATCATAAAATGACAGAGTGGTTTGGGTTGGAAGGGACCTGTAAAATTATCTACCTCCAACCTCCCTGCCAAGCAGACATTTTTCAAATGTAATATGTAGTGTAAATCAACCAAGGTTTTAGTTAAGAAAGATAATTAAACAGCTTCTTCAGGACAATATATATAGTATATATGATATTTAGTTATTTCATAATAAATTCTGTATTAACCGCCTCATATTATTAAATAAATAAAATAGCATCCTAATTATTTGATTTACTGTTGATTTCAGGTATACCCGAGGGCAGGCACTCTAATCTCGGAGGGGGTCATGCCTGAACTTTTCATGCTCATCAAATCATTGTCCTTCCTTAAAGTGCAAAATTCAGTCCTGCACGAACAGTGCAAGTTCATTTACATGCATTAAACCCATTTGCTTTGATCACATTTTGAATTAGAAGAAGGGTAGCTTTATTCCAGTTTGGATTCCATTTCCTTCAGATCACTGCACTTTCTATGGGGCCTACAAGAAAAGTGAAATTTTTCATTCTGGGTTATAAAATGGCAGGTAGTTTGACTGCAAAACCAGTCACCAGAGTGAAATGTCTTCCTATAGCTGACTTCTAACAGCTGCAACAATTGTGTGATCCTAGTCTGTAAGAAATAAAGCACTTGTGAAGGAAAAGGGGGATTTGGATTTCTTGTCCTTGAAGGAAGGAATCACCTGCTCAACTGCTACTGGTACGCATCCCTGAGAGCAAGAAGCAGCCTGGTGTGCTGTTTTGATAAGAATGATAATTTGAGAAAGGCAGACTTGAAATTTTAGGATTTTTTTTTTTAAAAGCTGTCATAAAGTAGATGTTTGGTTTCCCTCAGGATTGTTACCTGGTCTAGGAGAGAAGGTTTTTCTTACCTGATTTGAAATTTGTAGTGGTTTTGGCTCTTTTTGAAATGCTTGTTTTGTAAGTTTTTTTTTCTCTTAAGTATGAGGGAGACACAGAAATAATGAAGTTTGAGCTGCCTTATTCTGAATAAAAATAATCTTCAAAACATGTTTTTTGTCCTACAGATTTTATGGTTAGTGTTCTTTCTGAAGATGACACCATTATTAAAAATATTAATCCAGCACGGATTTCCATGAAAATGTGGGAAGCACAGAGTGGCCGGGTTAGAACACCAGTTGATGTAAGTCATCAAAATGCATTTTCAAAATGGCTATGAACATGCCAGCATAGGACAAACATAGTAGAAGCTGTCTTTCATTTGACTTAGATCTGCATCCTGTTCTAGATTTTAAGTAACAAATATTGCAGATCAACCCTACGTGTTTATCAGTGTCTGTCCTGTTACAAGTTGTCAGATTGATCATCTGTACTACAATAATGACAAAAGTGTTGCTGTTCTGCAGAAGCTAACTCATAGCAGGGAGGGTATTAGAAGTAGCCACATTGAATTTTGCAAAGAAAAGACTGTGAGAATTAAGAACATGAATTAGTGTCTAAAATACAGGCAGTCTCATTGATTCACTGTGGGCTAATCAGTACTGCACAAATCATTTAGGCTTGGTAGCATATTGCAAGTTAAGTACTTTCAGTACATTACATTAAATTTTTTGCATTTTTACAGGTTACAACATTTAGCTGTAGTAAGGTGAAGGATGACAAGGAAGATGGCTTCTTTTACTTCAGGTATAACAGCATTTATTCTGTAAATACTCATGGAACTTACTATACAAAATGCATAGTTTGAAGTAGAAGAGTTTTATGTTTTGATAATAACAGTCCATCACAGAATTAGTATGATACAGAAGAGGTGAAAGATACTAGCAAGATGCATTGAGATAAAGATTGAATTCTTTCCTAGATACTTTTGACATTTGTATAATTTGAGAGTAGAGAAGAAAGGAGTCCAAGATAATAGAGTACATTTTGAGATAGGCTAGCAATGAGGGAGCTAAATGATCAGCTTGTAACTTAGATGGTAACTTTCTTTAATTCTTTTCAATATTTCTTCAACTACTGTAGAATTGCAGACTGGACTAAGAAGATTTAACTCTTTTTTGCTACTTTCTCTAGCTGTGCATCAATCCTGAGCAATGGCCTTGGTCCTGTTAGTAATCATTCCTTGGGCTACTAATTCAGAAATAGTGTCTTCAATGAAAGGTGGCAGAACTAGAGCTCATCATAAGCTGGCACCTGACTGCCATGTTGTTTCTACATCTATTTCTAGTAGACAATCTATGGGATTAGCTAAGTAGTTATGGTAGTGGCTATTGATTTAAGCTTTTGCCTCCTGGGAGTGGGCTTCTCATAGGTGCCTGTAGTTCACTAGTTGTCCACAAATGTCCAGAAATAAAACTCCCAGCCTTATTGAAAAATTTGAAAGGAGAGTAGGCACTGCCCATTAGCAGCCCTTGTAGGAAAGTACATTTTACATGTTGCTGCCAGTGTCTGTGGCATCACTGTCTATCAAGTTACTTTATTTCAAGTTTTCCTGTTCTTGGCACACTCTCAGATGGTTTTCGTCTATTTATTGCCAGTCAGTAACACAGATGCCATTACGCAGTCTGAAACAACTTCCATAGCAGTCATGTATTTCTTCTTTTTCTAAAGCCTGTGTCTGTCCAGCCATGAGATCCTTAGCTGATTATTTGCTAATTAGTGTTTTAATGTATCCTGACAAGGCAGATGCTACTGTCAGTCTTAAGCTAAATAAAATGCAGAAAAGAATTGTTACTTCTGTTTGTGAAATCTAAAAAAGGAAAAGTCGTGGTCTGTTCTAGAAATATTAAAGCTTTGGGATTTCATCTTTTCCAAGCTAAGTGTTCCAGGGAATCTTACATATTACTACTTCCCAAAAAAAATCAGAAGAAATAAGTTACTTAATGTTGACAAAACAGTTAAACTGTTGTATGTTGAGTGCAAGAATCATTAATCAATTTAAGAATGCCACATGTCATGTTTGGAGAAATACCTGCATCTTGGCTGTTTGCAGCTCTTCAAAAGTTTGTAAACACTTTTAAGTCACTGGTATCCCTTGCTGAATACTGCAAAGTCCTCTGGATGCCATGTGGCCTTCCTTGCTGGGTGAAATTATAGCAGCAGAACCTCAGGTGTCTGGGCTTTTCTCCATGTTTTGATGGTAGGGGTTCTTTGCCAGTGGTCTACACTCTGGAATGCTGTCAGTTAGAAGGAAAACTCTGTTTCTCTTTCACTATACTCAGCCTTGACCAGTGATCCCAATTACACAACTTTGTACAATCTGACTGAGGAGGGAATTAGATACTCTGATTTTACGAAAATCTTATTAAATTTGGAGAGAAATGGTTGTTGTTCCAAATCTAGACATATCTATGTTTTGCTCTGGTAGCTGTATGAAAATTCTGAATAGGAAATTAAATGGTGTAGACTTGCAGATTTCTGAATAGGGCCATGACAAACATCCTGTCATCTAGAAAAGATAAACTCTTGGAGGAGACTTCCCTCATTCAAACTTCCAAATGCCTTACTCTAATTCTTAAAGATGTTTGATGGCCTTCTTTCTGAAGGAGGAGTATTATGCCTTAGTAGGGCTTTCTGACTAGATTGGAGAACAACTCAGAGTTTGAATTACTTGTGTACTTACATACTCGTGACTATAATATTGTCTCATGTTTGCTTGGGCTTTATTTTTGGTTTTTTTTAGGGATAAAGTGGTTCCAGAGAGGGTGGGCACTTACATGATACAGTTTACCTTTGCAATGGATAAGACAAATATGCTCAACAGTGAACAGGTTTGTATCTATAATTAATTGCAAGTAGCCAAGAACATGTAATACAGAATCATCTGGGTGAAGTGTTAGGATACTTTGTAGGTTCAGAATGGAAATACTTCCACTCACAACTTTTGAAAAAAAATTAATTTTTATTTTTGACAGTTACTGATTTCAAACTGTTGATTATCAAAATATGTTTTCATTAACTTCTATAACCAAAAGTAACCAAAAATTTGACGGTATAACAGAGGTGCATAATTTGCAACCTAGCAGAACTGCTTTATGGTTGTGCTAGTTTATTTCAGGTCTGTCCACAAATTTCACGCACATTTGTTTTAGTGGTTTTTGAGCAACCCAGGTGTGCAGGTGATTTGTAGTTAATTATGTCAGTCTTTATTTTGTTTTATTTTGTTTCATTTTTCCTTCTTTTTCTGCTAGATTATAATTGAAGTTGTACCTAATGACCCTGTACGCTTGTTACCTGATTCTTTACCGGCTACTCCAGCAGTTTCCAATGTTCGAGCTCAAACCAGCCGTACACTGGTCAAGGATTTATACCTCCATTTAATGGTAACTATACTTCCATACAAAATCATAATTAAAGAAATGTAGAAGACTGCTGAAACTATGTTGAATTTTGCTGTAAGGCATTGCTACTGTTTCTTTGCAGATTCACTTCATTTAAAAAGATGTTAATCATTGATTTTTCAGCATATGACAGGTCCATCTTCTTAGATTTACATACAGATGACCAAAACTGAAATGTTTTGTCCTTGCTGTCAGGTATCTCAATTGAAATCCATGTCTTGTTGCCACACAAAAAAATTGTTTCAAGAATAAATTCTAGTGGGAAAACACTTATGTGTACAGCAGATGTTTCTCTCCATGATTTTTATTCTCTTAGAAATCTTTTATTACCAAAACTAAGGTTTCTTGAACTTTGAATGTTCACAGGGATAAAAGGAAATCACTTACCAGCTACCACAATAGCAAAGCAGACTCAGCTTGTGGAAAAGTAATTTAATTTCATTTCCAGTTAAAAAACATTTATGCAATAAGAAACAAAGACGAAAAATCTAAAGCAACACCTACTGTCCCACCCTTCTTAGGTGCAGCTTTGTTCCAGATTGCTGTACTCTTCCCCAAGCAGTGCAGGGGGATGGAGAATGGGGGCCACAGTCAACCTGTAACAGCTCCTCAGCTCCTTCCTGCCAGTGCTTTTTCTTCAGTTTCCCTGTTCTAGTGCAGGTCCCTTTGTGGGCCACAGTCCTTCATGAACTGCCCCACTGTGAGCCCTTGCCACAGGCTGCAGTCCAGGAATTATCAGCCTGGTTTAGCATAGGGTCCTCCATGGGCTTCCATGCAGGTCTCTGCTCCACCATGGTCCATCATTGGCTACAGGGAAGTACTTGCTCCAGTGTAGTTTCCCTATGAGCTGCAGAGATCTCTGCTCCTCCTGCTGTTCCTTCTCTCACTCTCTGCTGTTTTCTCTTTTTTTTCCCCATTCTCACCTGCCTGTGCATTTCTGTACATTCTTAAGTATAAAGAAACACCATTTTGGCTCCGTGCTCAGTTGGAGCACTGGCCGTGTGCAGCCTCTCCTCACAAAGGCTGCCTCTGCAGAGGCTGCTAGCACCTTGCCATATAAAACCAGGGCAGTGCAGGAATGAATTATTTAGTTCAGTCCCAAACTAACTTTAATTTCTTTTTTAATCACAGGATGAATACAACAACCACACTGGACTTGATCTAGTTGGCAAAATAATAGCAAAAATTAAAAGCCCCAACGAAGATTTTGAGATCCCGCAGTTTCAGGGGAAAGTCAATACAGTAGAGTTTCCATTGGAGAATGGATCAGCTGAAATTGTAAGTGACTGAATACACAGCACCATGAACACTGTGTATAATGAGGCTGTTTTTCCTGCACTTTGAAAGTTATCTTACATCTCATTGTGTTCTGTGGAGATTTAGTTTATATTGTAGGTTTCCCTTAGAAATAAGTAGATAAATGATTTCTTCTGTATTTGGTTGCTGATTTTCAGAAAATCTGAAGGAAGGACATTCTTTAAGAAGTTTATCCTTTCCAAGTGAGGCAAGTGTACAAGTACTTTCAGCTAGGGACCAGGACATTCAGGAAAATCCAGGAAAAATATTTTCTTCATTTGAATTTCACATGTGAATAACACTTAACCAGTTTGTAGTTAAACCATTAATATTACCATTATTTTACATTTTTATTTATAGTACTCTCAGGCTGTTGTATCTTAAGATCATTTAGACTGACTTCTTCATATATTTCTAATTAAATTTTGCTAGGCTCTTTTTACTTTTTTTTCTAAGTAGTGGGCATATATATACTTTGTAGAAAGGCATCCTGCCCTCATTTGAAAAAGATAAAACTACCATTTTTCTTTATGCTTTGTTTCACTCATTAACACATCTGGCTGTTAGAAATGCTTTCCTTATTTTGGTTTGAATCTCTGACATCGTGCATACTCTGAATGTACTGCATATTGTAGTCACATCACTGCAGGCGCTTTTTCTTCAACAAATACAGATTGAATTTTTAAAACCTGTAAGTTCCATCTTTCACAGTTGCTATAAAATACAATACAAAGACACAGTGTAAATGTGCTCCTGCCCAAAACCAGGAACCGTTTAAAACACACCAAAGAAAATCCAGCTGAATGTGAAATTTCTTCTAAGTGGAATGGTCACAATCTCTGTCTACAATCTCAAGCCTATATAGAACTTCATTCAGTAGTATTCCTCTGGTGAAACAGTTGTATATTGATTTTTGTTTTCAACTTGAAATATCATATAAGAATGGCAGAGCAAAGTTATACCCCTATTTCATTTGGTTGTCACATATTTTAAAAGTCTGACTTCTACAGAAGTCTTCAAACAGTTAAAAGATGTACCAAAGGAGGATCCAACTTTTTAAGGACATTTTCTCAGCCACCTTTTCTAACTCGCTCTTTGGAAACAGCTTTATGACAGACCAACATCAGTGTGGGCCAAGTGGAGACAGACACTGCATAGCAATCCAAATGAATTCTCCAAATAAATCTTGGAAATCACCACCATACAACTACAGTAGAATCCTAAAATCTACAGGTCCTACATAGAAATTTCTTTATAATATATATTTTATTCAGTTCATTGACTGCTTTATGGAGCTTCATATGTGAAACTGAATGACAGAGCCTAAGTTATTCATTGTCAATAACAGTCAAGAACAGAAACATCTAGTTAACATGGCCAAATGTTATTAATGTGCCAGATTCTTGTCTACTCTAATCCATACAGAAAAGTGACAAAGTATGTATGTAAAACAAACTAGTAAAATAAAATGCAGAGACTGAATAGAGGTATCAGATAAAATTAATATACTGATTGATTTACGGTACACTCTTGGGTTTCTCTGGTTTCTGTACCATGTTTCAGGAGTAATTAACTGGTTTGTGAACACATTTTCCTCCAGGCAGATGGGGTTAGGAAAACCTAAAGGTTTTAGCTTTAGGTAAAGGATCAGCTAAAACCACTGGTCTAACAAAACACTCTGCAATTCTTGTATTTACACCTGTGGTAACAAGGTGTAAATTGAACACCTTTATATGGGTAACAATAACCCCATATACAACCTGTGACAGTTCAGATAAAATTAATGGATAATTTCAAAGACTCCTTGCTAATGCAGAAATAAAATTTTTTTGGTTTATCTCCATGTAGTAACCTCCTGTTGCATAATTGTGACCTAAATTCTCCAGTTCCCCATCAGTGACAAACTAGCCAATGTAATGGAGGAGAGAGTGTGATTGAGTTTCATGGTGTTTAGGGGGTTGGTGGTTTGTTTGGCTTATTTTGCCCTTTACCCCCCTGGTCTTTTTTTTCTTTTTTTGTAAGCAGATGGGGTGGTTTTTTTCCTGGTTTGGTGGGAGCTGGGGGGGTTTTTGCATGCTTCTTCCTTTTTATTACGATGATCTAAAGAGATCCTGCTGCTTTCGACAGTGACTTGTGTTCCCCAGTCATCCATGGGGGCAAATTGCATTTCAGTGAACCCAGTATCTTCCCCTCTTCAGGCAGTTTTCGGGCATCTGGTTTATACTGAGTTCACTGGCTTCAGACTACTCACAAAACCCATGTGGAAAAGACTTGTTGATTGTGATGCACTGTCCTTTTCATGTGATTTGTAATAGGGAGTGGAAGGGACATACTTTTGTTCTTCAAGTATTTTGAAATTGTTCCATCTTGTTTGTAAAGACAGTTGTGTGCACTTAGCACAAATAATGAAAGTGATAATCTGACATGTTTACCCTTAGTCATAAGTTCAGGAACTTATTTAATGAAGAAAACTGTTAAGATTTTTGTTGACATATATTTTCTGAGGAAAAAATATTTCCACTACAGACTTCTCCTGACAACATATGTAGCTACAATATTTTTGAAAGCTATGAAGACTATCTTTGAAGGTTTTATATCTATCTCTTCTTTTAGGCTGCAACCAGTTCTCTCATGATTTGGCCAGTTGAGTGGCAATTTCTACATGTTAAAGGTGGAAACAGTATGAGTTTATTTATAAGAATTATTCATTTTATGCATGATACTTTTCCCAAAGTAGCAGCGCATTTAGATCGTACCATTACTAATTTTATTTCTGTTTACCTTTATGGTTTTATAATATTTCTCATGTTTATAAAGAAAGGCAAAGGATTTAGTATGTATTTTCAATAAGGAATTGATAAGAAGTTAAATGTTTATGATAGTGTTTGGATGTATAGTGTTCATTCATTTGGGATTTGCTGTCTACTTCCATGGTAACAGCAGTAACTTTAGCTGAGCACTGGGAATAGTTTGTTCCTCCTTCTCCGTGTTTATGCTTTGGGTCTTTCTTTTTAATGATCTGTTTGCATTTCACATACTGAATGAAGTACACCTGAGGATATCTTGCTTATGAGGCAGTGCAGAGGATATTATTTCTGAGTGTGTGTCTCTGAAATAAAATACATAGCCAAAAATACTAAGACTTTTTCAACAGGTAAAATGACAATCTTAATTCCTTAATAATAAAATAGCTGTATCTTTGTATTTTACTTTTGTTTATTTGTTATAAAAGGCTGTGAACTGTATAGATACCATGTGTTACGTAACTCACAAGATTCACATTTACACTTAGGTAACTTATGAGATTTACATCTGAAGAATGTTTCTTTTGTGTGTAACCTCAAGCATGGGCATAAACTTATGTTTGTTTATTTTCACAGAATTTAGTGCTGGCTGAAGACAGTCCTGGAAGAGATAGCACTGAATATATTCTTGTCTTTGAGCCTCATCTGCCAGCTTTGAAAAAACCTTTGGAACCATATTGTCTCTCGTTTATGTTTTACAATGGTATGTTTCAAGTGCTCTAAAATAGTTGCTTTTGCTTAGAATCAGCTATTTTTAGATCCATAATATGTTTTCAGAACTATGTAATAGCTTAATAGATTTTTGCTAATGCTTAAACCAATTAAGCACATTACTGTGTTTTCTTTTAAAAGTTTACATGTGTATTTCTGTAGATTCCAAGAAGCAGCAGCTGATGGCAACACTGACAAGGGAGAAAGACCAATTATCTAAGTCCATAGATCTTTACAGAAAGATGTTTGATACTACAAATCAGCTCGTAGCTGAAATGAAATGTAAGTTCAATCAAATATGTAAATAATTTTTCTGTAAATTAAACTTCTGCCCTATAATGATTTTCAGAATATAGAGAAGGGGTGAAAAATCAATATTGAAATCATGAGACATAGTAATTAGAGGCTAGCAGACAGGGTGTATATCTTGCAGGGAAGCATCTAATTATTTAGCATCTATCTATTAGGCTGTTCCTACCTATAAAGGTCTTTGATGTAGAATGTCATATGTTAGGATTATCTAAAGTAGAAAAGAAACATTGAAGTTGGTGTTCTTTTTATCCATGACTGCCTTTCACTCCCATCTTTGCATGCTCATACATCTGGAAATTCAACAGTTGTTTAAAAACAATTTGAGGAGAGTGAACTATAGGTAATCCTCTTTAAAAAAGGTAGTCTTATGTTTTCAAAATGTTACTTTTCCACCTTACGTTTGACCTTGTGTACATTATTCAGAAGTGTTGTGTCATTGTTTATGTTCTTCAGCAAATGTAATTCTTTATGAATGAAGGAAATGTTTTCTTTGCCTTTTTTTTGTTTGAATCATCCTACCTGTTGATCTCAAGGTTTGTTTTAATAATTGCATTTTGAATTAAAAGATGCTGCTGTTTGTTGTAATTTTAATACTACATATTTCCATTTTGAATAGAAAATCCTGAATTGCAGTGAAAGGCATAAAATCTTTGTTTCATACACACACATCTGTGGGAGAGCAAGTTAGCATAAAGTGTAATGCTGTACTCTTAAGTAACATTTTCAAGTACAAACTTGTTGTCATTAGAGGGTAGAAAGCAACTCACCTGTTTACTCATTTGTTTATGGGATTAGTTCAGATATGAGAGCTGAGGAAATAATGTCCAGAAAGTGGTGTCCCATATAACAGACAAAAGAAGGTAGTGTCAGCCACCCCTCTTCTCTCCTGTCTTGCCAATTCACCTGTTGGAGAACCATTTACAATGATAATTGAGGATGAAAACTAAAACCAGCTAATGTTCTCAGACTGATATAAGGTCTAAGCCCCTTTGCTTCTTGAAGCTGAAGGTGTGACATCTGCTGAAATTGTTTAGAAACTGGACAAAATCACAAGATCTTTGTGGAAAAATTCTTATATTCTGTGCTGAAATTAAGAAGTAGGTAGGGTTAGTTGCAGCTGGCATAATTCTGAAAAGTTATAAAAAATTCTCTAAGTGTTCCATTGCTTCCTATCACTTCCTCACTCTCTTTTGGTTTTGTTTCAAATGTTTCAGGTCAGGTTAAAGAAGCTGAAACACGAGAAGCTGTCCTGAAGAATGAACTGAAAAAGCACCAAATTGAATTACCACAGACAAACACAGTATGACTTGATTCTTACTAAACTGCATTAATATATCTAAATTTGATATCAATAATATATCAATACTAATATTGCTGAACGACACCTGTTACCAAAACAGTGAAAATTTAAACTGTAGAAAAATTCGTGAATCAATGTCAAACTTTAGATCTTTTGTTTTTGGTATTGTTCTGTTAGTGTGATAATCTTTTAAAATACTGTTAAAGAACTAACAAAAACCTTGTCTTTTATATCCTGGTCTTGTGCTTTGGCTGGTTATGTTTCTGCTAAGGTTACATGTGTTACTGGTACTGCTAGATGTTAGAGTAGGTTATAGGAGGTTGATCAATATATATTGGATGTATTCTGGCATAAGTAGGCCAAAGGAAAGCACTTTTTTTAGAGAGTCAGAGAATTACATATGTTACTGCCAAAGTTCATGTAAAAATAAGTTTGAAATATTCAGGGCAATGTACCTCATTACTAATTTCCCTTAAAGATACAATTATGTTTCAAGAAACTTTAAAAAAGTTTGCAAACTACTGACATTTGGGGGAAGAAAACATCTATGTAAACAATTATCTTTAGATCAAATAAGACCAAGTTATAGTCATTAATCACAAATCAGTAGAATTAAATTGCAGTAACAATACTGAAGTTCCCCCTGCTAGCTAAATTTTTCATGCCTGGACATAGTCACCCTCTGAAATAGTTTCTTTTTGTGCATTCATGAGTATCTCTTCCTGCTGTTTTAAACTTTCCTCGCTTTTGTCTCTAATCAAGCACTGACAGTTCTTTGTGAAATGCTCCCTAAAGTCCTTAAAAATTAAAAAAAAATGGGAAAAAAAGTAATTAGCAAGTTTGGTCACAATTGGAGTGATTTTTTCCTTTGCTCTTCTCTGAGATTGTGGTCCCTTCTATGTTAAAAGTCTGCTTCAGGTTATTATTTCAGGTTAGAAAGTTAACTGATGACAGATAACTACTTCTGCTGCTCAGTCCAGTGGTACATGCTTGCTGATTTTAAATTTTCATTCTCAGCTTCAGTATGTGGATTCTCTTCTGAAAAAAAAGATGTTGGAACAAGAAGGAGTAATGAAGCAGCCAAGGAGAACTTGTACTCTCCCAAACTATCCAAAAGGCAACCAGGATATTCTAGGCAAGGTGAGTTTTCTTATAGGGAGCCTTCTAATGAGTTCTGTTGTTTTCATCACTACCACAGAGTGGTAGTGATGAAAAATTATCTGATGATCAGCTCCCCTAACAGAGCCATCAACAGGGGAATTAAATGTCTGTCTGAAGTTGTAGGATTATTGTGATTACTATGAAAGGGGGACATAGTCTTGGTTTCTGTTTTGACTGTTGTAACTTCTGTGGTACAGATTGCACATTTAGCTCAAATTGAGGATAATGAAGCAGCAAAAGTCATCTCTTGGCACCTGGCAAGTGACATGGACTGTGTTGTCACACTGACCACGGAAACTGCTCGTTCTATCTTCGATGAAACTCAAGGTCGACAACAAGTGTTACCCCTTGATTCCATTTACAAGAAGACACTTCCAGATTGGAGCAGGTAGAAAAAAAACAATGAAAGTTCTGCATTTGTATTACATACTTCTTCAACTCTTTTTTTCTTGTCTAAGTTGATTGTTAAACTTCAGTTAAAGATTTGAAGTATAAAATTTCTGGGCTGCTTATTATAGCAACAGTAATGTGACTTGAAGCATTAGCTGAAATCTCAGCTTTACATCTTTAACTACGGTGTGATGTTCTTTATATAAAAAGGTGTTTCTATTAAATAAGATAATCTTTTTTTTCTTCATGTTTACATGTTTTCTAGAGCAGGAATTTATTTTAAATAATTATAGTGCTTCTAATCAGATTATAACTTTGAAAAATTCCAGTTTCAAAATAAATTCCTAAAATCATCTGTAGTAATAGAAATTCATTTTACTATATCAGTTGCCTGAAAAATAAAGTATAGTATTTCTGCTCCTGAAAATCATTTGCTTATGAAGGTGACTGCTAATATAATAAGAATGCCCTTTAGAAAAGATCTGATGTATAAGTGCATATATAATGTTCAAATTCTCAGTTTTCATAATACAGTGCATTAAAACTTGTCCATAAATTAGTCATATGAATTGGTTGGAAATAATGTCTCATAACAAATCAGTGTTTCACTAAAACATCTTAAATATAACTGGCATTTCAGGTAATGGTGGAGTCATTTATCTAATGTGGAAGTGTTAAGATGCGTCTAATTCAGTTGGAGATTCCTGACTAGAATAAAGACAAATTGCTTTCTTCTTTTCTTCTCCTTTGCTATCCTCTTTCTTTAACCAGACCTTTACCTCACTTGAGAAATGGAAGAACCTTGTTCAGACCTATTGGAAATCCTGTATTTGCCAGAGATCTGTTAACATTTCCAGATAACATAGAACATTGTCAAACAGGTAAATGATAAGAAAGAAATAATTAATAACTTATTTCTTTTAAAGAATGCAATACAGAAACATGACAAATGATAATCCCTTCAATAATCTTCACTGATACGTTTGCAAATACCAGAGTACATTCATCCTGAGTTCTGTTGGTAAAAATAGGAGGGCATTAGCATTAATTATTTTTTAATAAAAGTGAAAATTTCAACCATGACCACTTCCTTCTGCTTGTTTTCTTAGTTTCATCTTGTCTACTTAGATGTATGGCAGGTTTTTTCTTTTTTAAATTCCTGCAACATTATCTTATTCTCAAGCTCTTTAGAGCAGGAACTGACTATCACAAGATTAATTTTATAATCTCATATTGCAGAAGTTACTCCTTTTGTTAGGCTTTGTTTCTTTGGTTCTTCTCAGAAATGTGAAATGCATAGATTTAAGTACAGGCAGACTGAACTGTACATGACTGTGTATGTTATGCTTAAACAGCTTAATAGTTGTGAAAAATCTTTCAATTTTTACATAGATTTTAGTTGAGGAAACTATTGTCCTCTTGCTCTTTCTAACAATGTGGCAATCCCTACCTTTTCCTACACTTTTTTTTTTTTAATGAAGTAGATCTGCTCCTTTATATGGAGAGTTGGCATCTGTAGTTACTTCAGTAAGTTTTGCATTTTATTTCATGACTTCCCACTATTGAAGTATTCCTATCTGCTATTAATAAAGACCAGTTTTTAACCCTGTGCATTTTCAGAAAGTTAGATATTGACAGACTTTTAACTATAAATTCTTCTTCATGCCCATTGGGGAATTGAAAAACCACATTGCATGGCCTATCTCATGCATGACTACATTGTTAGATTTTGTATGGAAGAGACTTCTATTAGCAGAAGAGTCTTAAGCTCAGTTGGATTATTTGCTGTTGGATTATTGTGAATGTTTTTTTCTTTGATAAAGCATTGAATATTAAGAAAAATATTAAGAAACTGAGAGCAAAATTCAACATTCCAGGAAGATTTTTAAAAAGATAACGTTTATATAATTCCCTGAAACTTATTATGTGTATCTTGATCAATGTAAAGTATCAAGAGAGTATTTTATTGAAAAATACACTCAATTATGCCAAAAGGCACTTAAATGTACTATTTTTTCCCCTTATGAATTCACTGATGAAAGCAGAAGATTGCATATATATCTCAACCTCAAGAGAATTTTGTTGAAACAAAAATTATTTACATGCTGTTTCCCTTGCACTTATCTTAGAAGATGTAATAATGATGCCTCAGAATTGACTTTTCAAAACTCAAGTTATTTTGCTCCAGAGAAATTTCATAGTTCAAAAATTTATATTTTTCAGTGTTTGGTATGCTCTTGGGTGATACTATCATTATAGATAACTTGGATGCTGCCAACCACTACAGAAAAGAGGTTTGTTTCAATTTTTCATTAAATTTTATTATACAAATATATTGCAGAGCTACATATTTAATACATTAAAAACTTACAGTAATTTCCTAGTTTAATGCTGTGTTAGCTGTAAGTGTACTTACTGTCTGTGGGTCTCAAAGCACTTAACAGTGAATGAAATGTCTGTTATTGGCACTGACAAAATTATCTCCATTCAACAAATTCCATTATGTGAATTGTTGCTATGGCACATGGGACCATGTTTTCAAAGATAAGCATCTTCAGTTCTGCTGTGTTAGTGTTAAGCACAGGTTCTTCTGTACTTTCCTAGTCACTCTGACTCATAAAACACAGGAGTCTAAGGCACATGGTGAAATTTCAGGTCCACTTGACTAAAAACTTGATGTGAAACTTACTAGATGTCTTTGAGACCCATTTTATTTAGGTTTAATGGTACATGTTTTAGCAGGCAAGAGTCTCTGAGGAAGTGCTGATACTGAGCACTTTTACTTTCAGCTTATGAGTTTGCTGGAATCAAAATAATGATTGAGCATAAGAATGTAGAACTGTACTGATTGCCTCTGCTTCCTTATGCTTCCAATATATGTTGATAATCAGTTTTCCCAGGTATAGATCTATATTCTGCCTTCAGAGTTCTGGAAAATGTGAGAACACAAACCCAAAAAAACTGATCTTCGTAATTATTGACAGTAATGCTTAATTTTAATAAATGTGTTCTATTGCTTGAAAACAAAGTCGTGACATAATTTCATAAAATATGTTTTTCTTTAGAGGACAAAGTTGCATTGCAGTTGAAAAATACAAAGGTTCACAACAGCATTGCTGAACACTTAGATTTTCTGCGGAGTTACTAATTTATTCTCAATTTTTATACCTGTGCAGGTTGTAAAAATTACACACTGCCCTACCTTGCTGACTAGGGAAGGAGACAGGATTCGCAGCAATGGAAAATTTGGAGGCCTGCAGAATAAAGCTCCTCCAATGGACAAACTCAGAGGAATGGTATTTGGAGCACCAATGCCAAAACTTTACTCTACTATCTCTGTACAGATAGGTGGGTTAATGAAATCACAAACATACAAAACTTACAAAATTCTATTGCTTGTCCTATGTTTTTTATTCTCTGATGTAATACAGAGAGGAAAACTTTGAATTAGCATACGGTTGTTTTAAGAAGTAGGAGCTGTACAGTGTTCTGTTTATAAATTTGCCTTTTCTTAAAAGCTTACAGCTATTACATTTCCTGAAATAAAAAATAATAACAATGAGACAATCCCCTTTATTCTTAGTCTTACTAAAGGAGTATAAGCAGTAATAACCATTCAAATAGCCAGCATGAGAAGCTTGAGCTGATTGAATTCTGGCATCACTGAGAAACAATTTTTAGGTCTTTCTACTCTGGAAACACTATAATCAATTTAGAATTTCTTCTGTGCAAGTGAGCTCTATGAAACAGTGGTAGAAAAATTCATATTCTCAAGAGAGAATATCTCATAAGTTACACTATTTCCTATGAGATCACTTCCATTTCTTTATGTGCTTGGATTCTTCATTTTAGAATTAAGGTTAGAAATTAAGTTAGTAGATGCAGTTTCTGACATGTAACAACTGACCTGACTGATGAGTAAAAAACATTGAAAAGTCTTACTTACAAACAAGATTTTTCTTAAATACTTAACTTTAAAAAGAAAGGACATCAAGTTTATCCATGACAGTGCAGTGGAGCGGTGTGGGGAGAGAACACACATACCTATTAAAGTAGCCATATATATGAAAAACTACTTAGCACTGACCAATTGAGTAGGGGGGAAATAAGGACTAAAAAGCTATTTTCTCAGCATTTTAGTAAAAATATATTATGCCTAATGAAAACACAGTAAGCATGTCAATCACAGACTAAAATACACTGAGTTTAGCACAATTTGTCTATCAGCATGTTTTCAATTGTTCAACTCAATTATGACCCAATACAAATTAAATTGAAATTTTTTATAGTTTAGTACTGGAGCAATCGTGGTAGAAGAAAAGGGCGTGTTTTAATTACACCTAGATAGATACTAGATATTTAAAGGAAAATCATAGTAAAATTCCATTTAAAGGACAGCATCTCATTACACAGGGCTTGTTTTGAACTTAATTTTACACTTAGCATTAGTTCTGACATGCTCTTTTTGAACGTTTGTTTTGAATGTTTGTAGGATAAAAGTTGCCAGTGTAATAACAGATTAGGCAGGGTACTTGTAAAATAAGCTGTACTAAGAGTCTGCAGACTTCTGTCAGCCTGCAGCAGCTCTCTGTGTGAGAGCTTTCACCCCATGGCAAACTTAAGGTCACTGAGTGTTCAGTTAAGCTTTGTGCAAGATACCTCATACTCACCTGAAAGTAAAATGAGTGAGTCCAGGCTAATATGCTTGAACCCTTCCTTTATTACTTAACATATTTATTCAGTGCCTGGATGTGGGAAAATTTTTTGTCTCATGTTTAAAGAGGAAAAAAAATTGTCAAGAAAATACGCCTTTGTTTATCTGAGTCTGCTTGATTAGATTTCCATAGTGGGACAGAGTGAAACTCAGTAAATGTTCACTTGGTCCACAAGGTGGAATACAATTCAAGTCAATAATACAAGCTTCTGCTTTGTAGCACTGAAAACACAACATGCTACAAGCACTTAATGTCATCAGAGGTAGAGAATTTCACTTGGAGCACACAGGCAACAAGAAGTGTACACTAATACCAGTTTCCCACATAATTTTCAGAGCTTGCAGGTACTTCACTGTCATCTAAGATGTGGACTCAAAAAGAAAAGAGGAGTCAAAATACTGGATATGGTTTTCTTTTTACAGTAATTTTAAGAATAGCCACTATAAGTTTGGATGTTTTTTTAAGTAGTGTTTTGAAAGGTATGTTTTCTTGTGGATTTATACATTGCCTAGTTTGTATTGGTAGCATTCTAAATCAAAATGGTCATTTACTTATTGTTCTGTGGTTTATTGTTTTATTTGTCAATTAGATCTTCTTCAGCAATACCGTGCAGCAGTGATTAAATTTGATAGTGTGAATAAGGACCTGGATTTACATTTGCAGTCATTGAACACTCCAGAAATGCAAAAGAGAAAACAGGAACTTGCTGAACAAGAGAAAAGCCTCAAGCTAGTAAAACAAAAATTGGGTAGGTTATTGTACTATAATTTTGATGTGCTATAGGAAGAGAACAGTTAACTGCAACCAGATGTATTTTGCTCTTACAAAGTAAGAAGTTCAGACTATGAATGTAAATTGTTAACATTAATTAGTAGCTTAGAGATGTCACATTTTAAGGAAAGAATAGAAAAACTGTATGTGGTAGTATGATGCTGTGGATATTGCCTAGAGCAGTACTGCCCTCTATTGTCTTCAGATAGTAAGAATGTGGTCAGCCTGTATCTTGTGAACATGAAACTGTGATCTCACTAATAAGAGATTATATAACTATTACTGTGGCTGGCCCCGTGCTACAGAACATTGGCATGCTTTTTGAAATGACTGTGTAATAAAGAGCTGAATTGCTTTTGCTAAGGAAACACAATCAAAACATTGTGCTATAAAAAGAAACACCCTGAAGTCTGCAAGAATTGTCTGAGTTACAAAATTCTTTTATGCCAATATCAAATAATATTTTAAAAATCAACATTTACTCTGGAACAGTTATAAATAAATCATTTTAACTGTCATCTTTGAACTCTATTTTAGATATAACGTAACCATAAAATTAATGACATTTTTAAAGTCTTATTTCAAAGGTTTAACTCTATTGTTATAGGACCCACTTATAACCAGCAGGTTTAATTTTTCTGTTATTGGTTCTTACTTGCAACTTTTTCATAGGTATGACTCCTGCTTTATCAGATAAAGGTGCTGAATCGTTACTTCAGCCTATAATTTTAGATATATCTGACACCCCCATTCCTCCCAAAAGAATGAGAAGAGACACAGTGAAGAAATTGTACAGGTAAGTATTTTCTGAGTCTAGTAATTATTTTCCCATAATCTGAATTCAAAACCAAAACTAGTTTATTCGTATTTTTAAATTCATATTTGTATCTAATAAGCAACAATTAATAGAGTTTGCATAAAGCTGATTTTCAAGATAATTTTTAATTTCTTCTAAAAGTTTCTGCCTCATTTAAAAGTTAAATCTCATATAGAGATTTTCTTACTAATTCTAATTTTGTTTCTCTTTATGAACTGATGATTATCTTTGTGTGCCACATTCCCCATATTTTCTGGTATATTCCACACTGTTACACCTAAAACCATTTCAGATGGCTCGGTCTGTAAACTCTTTTAAGGTCTGCTGTCAAATACTGGATAGATGAACATGGGAATAATTATTATTATGTAATAGAATCATTCTTACACTACTTTTCTAAGTAACTCTCTGAGGTGAACTGGTGGTAAAGTGTTTTACCCATGCATCTGTTCTCATTCCCTCTGTGCTGAGTGTTTGAACACACACACACAAAAATTTGGGAAATCCGTATATCTGTATCTTTAAAGTAACATGAAACTGTCTTTGCCGTTTCTCATGTCTCTCCTCATGAGTACATCATTGTCTTTGCTGAACTATGGTCATTTTTCTGAGATTATTTAAATCTTAACCCAGTACTGTTCTGTGAATCTCAGAACAAGTGTTCACTATATTGCTATGTCTCCTTATTTTTTATACTTGTTACTGTGTTAATTTTTATCTACATATAGAACTAAAGTGGTTATGTAGTTAAACTGATATTAGCCTGTTGCTATTCTTCATTTTAAAGAAATAAATACAGTAATAAAAAGCTGTGTACAAATATGGGGATTATATTGTTTATACTTGTGGGAACTCTATGCTATATAAATATTATATATAGATATACATATATATCTATAAAAAAGAAAAACTTTGTTTATAAGCCACTGTGCTATGTTTTATTCAGCTCAGAAGAATGGATTTCCTCTACTGCAAAGCAGCAGCAACAGCAAGAGATGCAAATGGCCCCTTTAGAACTTAATGGAACTCCACGGAAAAGAAAGGCATAGACTGATGAGACTAGCTGGGAAAAGCTGTGTATGGAAAATGTGAATATATTCACTTAAAGGAAATACTTATGCGGTATTACCATTACTCTGAACATTTTTATACTGATAGAAGATACAAATGTATTTCAGTTAGTAGGAACAAAAGTGTAAGTATTTAACACTGATAGCTGAAGTTTTGTATAGTTAATTTTCATTTCTAAAAGCTTTCAGAGTTTTTATGTTCGTGTGTGGAAAAAAAAGGTTTTAAATATATTCTTTTTTATTTATGAAAATAAAAGATCTTTGCAATAAAACTGCTTCATTACAAAATACTGACAGTACAATCGCTTGTGTTGAATAGATTGTGTCATGAAATGAGATTTTAATTTAAAAAGCATCTCAAACTGTCTTGAGGAAGACAGTCAAAGGTCACTTTAGTGATCTGCATTGCAAAGATTTTAGTGATGAACAGGGCAGAAAACGATCAAGCGTGATTAAAGACAGAATTGCAGCGAGAGTCAGAGCAAGCAGCTGAAAACAGACTTGATTGAAAGAAAAAGATAGGGCAGGAGTAGGAAGCTAAACTTGAAAAGTACAGTAGTTATTAGTTGAGGCCCTGTGAATAACATAGGAGACAGTGTTCAAGGGTGTGGACATGTGGGTTCACATCTGCCTCAAAGAATTTCTGCCTCAGAGTGGATGTGGACACCAAATCTACTGACCTGTACTCTCAGCAACATGCATTTTATATACATACTCCTTTTCTGAAAAAGGACTTTTACTTAAAAAGACATGGTGGTCTCCTGCTAGAAGTTTTAGAATGCTGATCACTGGTGCACATCTCTGTGACAGTTATAATAGTATGAAATTTCTCCAAATTAGGGAGAAATAAAGCAGTGTAATTTTTGGTTGAAGGTTTTCCAGAGCTTTATGCTTTAAAGACAGGTTAAACATCAAATTATCCTACTCTTAAAGCAAATAAATATATTCAAGTATAACATGTAACACCAGCAAGAAACTAAGCTAGCCCTATCTCAGCCCTTTTTTCTGTTTTTTCTCTCTAAATTTAGACATCAAGGCTTGAATCAGGTAGCCATCATGAAGGGTTTGCCATGTAATAATTTGTCCTACCACAAGTTACCTGATTGTACTTCTTTTAAATGCATTTATTTTAATTCTGACATCTGCCTAGCCTCAGTCTCCAGCCTCTGGATAACCTTGAATCTTACTGGATTATATATGTATTCCTGCAGAAATTTAATCCAGAATTGGATTAAATAAGTATTCCTTCAGAAATATGTATTCCGGTTGGAATTCATCTCTTGCCTTTGGTAGTCAGTGTAGGCACTACTAGCATCATGTGATGGATCTCCCTGGTGGAAGAGGCAAACACAAAACAAAATTAAGGATGGTTTCCAGCATTGTGCAATAGCTATCAGAGATTTCAGGAAATTTCACCAGGGAACTTTCAGGATTTTCCAGCAGAGTGATGGCAAGTTACTACAGTGCAAGTCACTGCTTTGCAAAGCTGTTCAGGGTAGCTGATTTGGTCATAACAACAAATTGGAGCTCTGAAGGTAAGTGTCAATTTTTTTCCTTTACCCACTCTTTATTCTGCAACAGAGCAGAGCAGGGAACCTCAGCCATGCTGGGCAGTGTTGTGTTGTCCTCACTGATTTGATGTGGGGCTGGTGGAAATCCATGCAGGAAACTGGGAGAAAGTGGTCGTGGTTTTGGTCTGGGCCTGCTTTTTGACTAGCACGCAGGGATGCAGAGACTGCCTGTCAGGTGAGTGGGGCTGGACACCCCCTGTAACCCAGGGAGGTAGGTTGGATGACAAATCCTTTCTGCCAAACCACACTTGTGGTGTTACACTGACTCTACATCTCTACAATCCCAGTATCACCAGTACTTCTCTAGCCATGGGACTTGCTCTGCCTCCTCCAGGGCCAAAGTCCCCTTGTCAAGCCAGAGCTACAGGTCAGGGAAAGAGCAGTGAGAGGGAGGGAGAAAGGGATGATGCCCAGGGAGGAAAAGGGGGCAGGGAACCACTGCAGGGTGTTGCTATGTTACTGCTACAGCAGTAGCCTGGATGAAAAACACACATTCCAAATGTCCATTGAGACATTGTGAGACTGTAGCAGTGTAATTACTGGAAGGTTTCTGCTGAAGCAATCCAGAGTAGGTGCATATTTGATTAAGTTAGCATTCTATTGCTATCCTGAACTCCATTTCAGCTAAGCCTTTAAAGAGATTTGCAGTCCCCATTGGTGAATGGTTCATTCTTCAGTTGGTCACAATGGGAAAAGAAAGATAAGTTGCTTGTTTTTTAACAGCAAAGACATCAGCTGCTCTAGACTTTTATTATAGTGCATTGCTGCAGTTATGGTAGTGTTATTTTGTGGATATTTAATAAAGCATTATTAAGGAGCTGTCATTAAAACATTACCGGTTTCCATGCACCAACATTTTCTCCCAATAAATTCTGCTCCCAAATTGTTCTGTTTAGGGGTTGTTTTTTTTTAAATACTTGGGAAACAAAATCTATTAAAGTTGCATTTCATGATCACAGAGCAAATATAGGCAACCATCACAGACCGTACCTGCAGTAAATTCCTTTTCACGTGCCAGAATGCAATACACCAGAAGAGATGCCCAAACCACTTTCAATGTTTTCTTTTTTAAAAGTCAGTTTGCTTATTATATAGGAAGTAGAACATGTCTTACTGATGGTAGCAGTACCAGTATCAGTAAAAAGCAGCTGTTTGCCTCCCTTTCTGCCTGTGACTCGACAGGGTGTATTCAGGGATTTTGACATTCCTGCCACACCAGATCATCTTCCCACAGGAACAGGCATCATTTCAGGTTCATAAAAAGTATGGACTTGTGGATGTGCATACACATGCCAAGTTATATGTGTACATGCGTACATATAGTTCCTCTAGTCTATATTTCCATAGACAAGCTCTTCCACACCCACCGTGACTGTGGAAAAATTCCAAGAGAGCTACTGTGTTGCCTGGATGTGCTTTAGCTGCTCCTATCCCCTATCTCTGCCTCTGTGGCATGTCTTCTCTGCTGTGAAATGGTTCTAAGAACAGAGCTAGCTTTAGCAATGAAAACTGACTTAGAAAAGGTACACATGTAAACTAATTGAATGCAATTTTATTTTAATCCAGCCTATATATAAAACTAAGGGAAATTTTCAGTTATTAGAGGCAAAAAAATACAGTACTTTCAATTTGTAAATACATAAATTCCACAAATTTTATAATATATGTTAATGGATTCTTACAACTCTCATTAGCTTTTATAGGACTCAGTATTTATGAGGGCTCTAAAGGAATCCCCACTCACTATTTTGGGGTTATTATTTTACAGTAGCCTTGCTCTTTATGACTACATTATTTAGGCCCTGTTTGTATGCATATCATCAAGCACAGGTGAACTTTGCAAGAGCAATAGGGCTGCTAAGACCTTCCTTCAAAAAATTGAAAATAAGTACAACAGCAAAACTATGTGTTTCACTGTCTTACCTAGGAACAAATTATGAAAGATTTTTTTCATCTAATAACACAGCCCAAGAATCTTTGCCTAAATCATATAGTATTCACCCTTTTTAGAAAATGAATATTACTGTCTAGTTACTGAAAAGACATTTAGTGGGCTCTTATTTCTTATTATTCACTCCCTCTTTATCCCTCATCCTGCAACTTTGGTAAATCAATTAAACCATATCATGCAGCAAATACTGCAGTCAAGGCTGATTTCAAGAACAGAAAATTATTTTCCCTTAGTGTACTTAAAAGTTTCAAAGAATGATGAACCAACTAACTGCAGCAACCTCTGATTCACATTTTTCACACACACAGAATAAATTGGTAGATTAAAAAGTTACTGAATAAAAAACTGAGCTATTGAATTAAAAGCTGCTGCTACTTTGTTTAATGAAAAATGGGAATGATCCTAAAAACTTAAAAGTTAACTTTCCCCAGTAAACAGCTAGTGAAAACAAATGTTTCATATTAAATATAGCTCCTGATTTTAGCCTGTTCTTATAAACAAAATATAGTTGAGAAATGAAATGGCAATGTCATAAAATTAGCTAAAGGCTGCCTTACAAGAAAAGGGAAAGGTGGACTGTCGTGTTCCTGCCCTGTCTTAATTCCAGGAGCCCGTCTTTGTAATTAAGGGTCTCTCAGCATGTACATGCTCCTGTGTGGTGGTATATTAACCTAAACTAACTGATTCAGAAGATGCAGATCAAAGGTCCAGCTTTGCTCTACAAACTGGAAGAGCTGGTTTAGCAAGAGGAAGATTCATGACAGCCTGAGGAATGCAGTGAAAAGAATTCTTCTGAAACAATGGAGAAGGCCATTCTAAAAGTTGCTCAAGAGTGTCTTTTCTTCAGAAAAGAAACAGAGTCCTGGGGCAATTCTAAGACAGAGACTGTCCTGGGAAAAGTTAGAAGGGATGGTTGGAAGTCTTCTTCATACTGAGGACTTCTGGCAGATGCAGTCATGAGTAAATTTGGTAATGCATGCCAGAGCTAACCCAGCAGTGATGGGAAGTCAGAGCAGAACTGCTGAAGTGGAAGCAGACTGAGGGCTGGGTCACAAGTGAGAGGCCTCACATGCTGAAACTGAGCCTGCTGCAGTTGTAGGTAATTTTAGAGAGAGCTGGCTTCAGTGTAACAACTTCATCTTGCATCATTCATACCTGAACTGACCTAAGACATACGACACAGCTGGTGGAGTCAAACTGCTGCAGGAGCATGATGAAATGGAGACTGGTAAGATCAGTTTGTGAGTTGTGGTGTGGTGTTGTTGCAGTGTGGTGTTACACAGACATGTGCAAGCTTGCATTTAATCACGTCCTTCACTGGCATTTTAACCACTGTTTTGAAGTTTGTAAGTACATTCCAAGTGGAGAGCTCTTGGATGCCAAAGGCAGTTTGTTGTCATGCAGAGTTTGAAAGGAAAAAATCCCTCTGAAGGTGGGTGGTCAGACCAAGACTGATTTATCCAGTTGGTCACTGGATGGCGATTATATCTTCCTCCAGAACTGAGCGCTTCTAGGAGTCCATGTCAGAGCATCTGAACTGTACAAGATCTGACCATTCTTGTCCTCCTTCCTCTGGAAACAAACCCTGGGAGGCCAGCCACAGTGCTGGCAGAGTGCTGTACTTGTCTCAAGCTGCTCAAAGTCAAAAGGGTCTTCTTCTTAACTGTTCCTGGAACAAGATTGTGGTGCTGGTAGAGTCTCTCTACCCTACTAATCTTTGGCACCCTCCTGTGCCAAGATGAACAAGATTCAAATATAAGCAAGAGTC